CCTCCCGAGACAGCCCCGTGTGTGCCGCTCGTGGACACCCCTCCCGACGCTTCTCCGGCGCCCACGTCCGCCCCAGAGCCCCCAGCGCTCCACCCCGTGCGGCAGCCGCGGGCCCGAGGCCCCGGTCTCCAGCCCGGCGCACGTCACCCCGCGCCGGCGCCTGCCGCCCGGCCTCTGAGCAGAGGACGGAGGGCGTGGGGGCCGCAGCGTCGGTGCCGGGCTCCCGCGGCGAACCCTAACCCTCGCCGGCCTTCCTGGACTTCTGCCCGGCCCCAGGCTGCCCTCCCAGCCCCTGAGCGTGCCGCTGCTCTTCCCGCTCTCTGCGCAGTGCGGCCTCCCGTGTTGTATCTCCGAAAAAGGTGTATCAGCACCTTTTTTTTTTAAAGCTTTTACCTATTTATTTGACACAGAGACAGACACAGCGAGAGAGGGAGCGCAAGCAGGGGGAGCGGGGGAGGGAGAGGCAGGCTTCCCGCCGAGCAGGGAGCCCGATGCGGGGCTCGATGCGGGGCTCGATGCGGGGCTCGATCCCAGGACCCCGGGATCACGACCTGAGCCGAGGGCAGACGCTCAACGACTGCGCCACCCAGGCGCCCCGGGATGAGCACCTTTTAAACCTGGGGTCATAAGCACGGACCCCGCTCTCACCCACTCTGGCCCCAGGAATCCGTCCTTTTCCTCAGAGGGTTTAGAGCTGAAAAGACAGGATTTATCAGCCTTTTCAACTTGGAGTTTTCTACAGGGCTTGTATTTTTCTAGTAAGCCTAGCCTTGTAGGGTTAGATATAAACAGTATGGATGCGTTTCTTTTTTTTTTTTTAAACTTAGATTTAATTAACATATAGCATATTATTGGTTTCAGAGGTAGAGGTCAGTGATTCATCAGTCTTATACAACACTCAGTGCTGGTTCCATCACGTGCCCTCCTTCATGCCCATCCCCCAGTTACCCCATTCCCCTGACCCCCACTCCCCTCCAGCAACCCTGTTTGTTTCCTATGATTAAGAGTCACTTATGGTTTGTCTCCCTCTCTGGTTTTCTTGTTTCCTTTTTCCCTCCCTTCCTCTATGATCCTCTGTGTTGTTTCTTAAATTCCACATATTGCTGAGATCATATGATAATTGTCTTTCTTTGCTTGACTTATTTCACTTAGCATAATGCCCTCCAGTTCCATCCACATCATGGCAAATGGTAGGTATTCATCCTTTCTGATGGCTGAGTAATCTTCCATCGTGTATATCTACCACCTCTTCTTTATCCATTCATCTGTCGATGGACATCTTGGCTCTTTCCACAGTTTGGCTATTGTGGACATTGCTGCTATAAACATGAGGGTGCACGTGCCCCATCGGATCCCTACATTTGTATCTTTGGGGTAAATACCCAGTAGTGCAATTGCTGGGTCATACGGTAGCTCTATTTTCAACTTTTTGAGGAGCCTCCATACTGTTTTCCAGAGTGGCTGCACCAGCTTGCATTCCCACCAACAGTGTAGGAGGGTTCCCCTTTCTTCACAGCCCCGCCAACATCTGTCGTTTCCTGACTTGTTAATTTTAGCCATTCTGACTCGTGTGAGGTGGTATCTCATTGTGGTTTTGATTTGTATTTCCCTGATGCCAAGTGATGCTGAGCACTTTTTCTTGTGTCTGTTGGCCATTTGGATGTCTTTGGAGAAATGTCTGTCCGTGTCTTCTGCCCATTTCTGTCTCATTGTTAGTGTACAAAGTGCAGCTGATTCTGTGCATTGACTTAATATCCTGCTACGTTGCTGAATTCCTGTATGAGTTCTAGCAGTTCTCAGGTGGAGTCTTTTGGGTTTTCAACTTAAGTACAGATGCATTTCTGTTCATTTTTGTGACTTGCAATGAGCAGCTGCCTTCCACAAGGGTGTTTTATGGATTGGGATGAGGCAGAGGTAGTGTGAGAGCCAGGCAAACAGGCACTGAATTGGCCTTTAGCTCAGCACTTTACAGCTTACGAAGTGTCTGCACATAATTTGGGTCACTTAATCCTCCCAACCGCTCTAAGGAGTGGGCAGGCAGGTTTTAGCTTCTGATGAGGAGCTGCTCACATCTGGTAAGTGGAGCAGAGCCCAGTAAGCTTCTGAGACCTGACTGGTGCCAAGAGGGTCATAGACCCTTGGAAAAGAAAAGGGCAGGGTATTCATGGTCCTCTAGGCCACCTCTCCTGGGCCCAGATTCCTAGGCTCACTTCCTACCTGTGGGAACATATCTGTGCCTTGGATTCCTCTCCTGTTTAAGTACACAGGGCGGTTGACCCTGCCAGGAAACAGGCGTGGTTCTGTCACCTCTGTAGTTCTTCTGGTTTGGGCCTCATCATGAGATGCAGCAGGTGCTTCTTAGTGCTGTGGGCTGGTTTGCCTGCAATGACCTTTCAACCCCTAGTGTGCTCTGTCTAATCGACAGTGTGGCAGGGAAGCGGGTAGCTCACTCAGCCTGTTGGTGACCTTTGTAATACCTATTTGAGTCTCACTTACTCAGAGCCTTTTTTCCCCCCTACTTTATACGTTGTTAGCTGAGTTCCAGACGAGCACTCTGTTTCTGCAGGCAGGCTGTGCACACACTCTAAGAAAGCATGAGAAGGGGGCGCCTGGGTGGCTCAGTCGTTAAGCGGCTGCCTTTGGCTCAGGTCCCTGGGATCGAGCCCCGCATCGGGCTCGTTGCTCAGCAGAGAGCCTGCTTCTCCCTCTCCTTCTGCCTGCCTGCCGCTCCCCCTGCTCGTGCTCTCTCTCTTACTATCTCTCTGTGTGTCAAATAAATAAGTAAAAAATCTTAAAAAAAAAAAAAAAAAAAGAGGGTGCCTGGGTGGCTCAGTTGGTTGGGCGACTGCCTTCGGCTCAGGTCATGATCCAGGAGTCCCTGGATCGAGTCCCGCATCAGGCTCCCTGCTCGGTGGGGAGTCTGCTTCTCCCTCTGACCCTCCCCCCTCTCATGCTCTCTATCTCTCATTCTCTCTCTCAAATAAATAAATAAATCAATCTAAAAAAAATAAAAAATAAAAAGAAAGAAAGAAAGAAGCAAGCAAGCAAGCATGAGAGACTGGGGTAGAGAAGGTCCATTTCATCTTGTCCAAACTGGAAGGCTTTGAGGTGGTGGGTGCAGAGACAAGTGTAAGCTAGGGCTGTCCCAGGCAAGCCAGGGCATGTAGTTGTCCTGGTGAGAAGGCACTGGTGCCTGAGGGAGCAGCCTGGCGATCCACAGCTCTTTCTTTGCCTGTTTGCTGACATGTTCTGGTGCTTAAGCTCTGGGTGTGATTTGAGTTATATGTGATGTGCTGGAAATTGCCCTGGACTGGTTCCTGGAAGATCTGGCTATAGGTTCTGTCCCATATTTATAGTCATGTGACTTCTTTGGGCTTCGGGGATGTCTCTTGGATGGTGGGGATAGTTTGAGGAGCACTGGCCATCCCAGACTGGAAGGAGCCAGATACTTGAATGGGCCTGTGGACCGTGGTAGGGGCTCCGGAGTTGTCGGCATGAGGCCTCATCCTTGGAGTCCTGTGCAGAGCCAGGCTGCTGCAAGGGCCGCTGCCATCCCTTACCTGACCATGGCCTTCTTCATATTGCTCACCTAGTATTCAGGGTTGGGCCGTGTGGGGTTCTGGTTCATTCTGTCACCATTTATCTCAATTCAGCAAGCCTTCATGGAGTTCCTGCTTTATCTAATAAGCACTGCACTAGATCCTAGAAGCACAGAGACGATTAAGAGGTGGACCCTGCACAGTCTGGTGGGGGAACAGAGGCTAAACTAACAGTCACACTCCGGTGTGATAAGGATAGTGGGAGAGGCGTGTACAACTTGCAGAGGCAGATGGGGGGGTGAGGGACAGGACTGGGGAATTAGGGGCTGGCGAAGGGCATTCCAGGCCCCTGGGCCTGGTGCTGTGTGGGCTGTCCAGGTTCTACCAGAGGGACCTTTGTTATGGGAGTGTGAGTGAAGAGTCACTCACTGCTGGGAAATGAATTGGGGAATGATGAGATGCAGCCCGAGTCCTTACTGCTGCAACGGCATCTAAGAAAGCAGAAACTGGTACTGGGGACTGCGGCCAGGGGCAGTTACCTTTCTGGCCTTGCCCCTTCTGAGGCTTGGGGTGCAGCCAGGGCCTTGTGCTTTAGTGTAAAATAATTCAGAGTTAGCATGCTCCTCTGTGAAAGGACGCGGGTGTGGCCCCTCTTGCTCAGCCCTCATGGGTATCTGGAGGGTCTGGGGCTCTTGTGATGCTGGGTTTAGCCTGCAGTCTTGGGGCAGCCGTGCCTGGGCTCTGGCATGTTACATTCCCTGCCATCCCTTGCTTCAGCCTTGGTGCTTGCAGCCTCCGAATCATGAGGCCTTTCTCTCTGCTTCTCCAGTTTATTGGCTAGAATAGCTCACAAATCTTTCCTTTCCTTCCCTTCCCCTTCCCCTTCCCCTTCCCTTTCCCTTCCCTTTCCCTTCCCCTTTCCCTTCCTTTCCCTTTTTGAATGCTTATGTCTCAGAATAATCATTGTGGGTCAGCTTTGGCCATTTTCCTTCTTTGTCTGCGGCGGTGGTGCTTCTGAATCCATGAACACCACTGGAACTTTGCAGCAAACCTTGCTGTCCTTTCACTCGCTCCTGCCCTTCTGCTCCTATTAAGTAAAGCATTTCTTCATATTCTATATGTAACCTATCTCCAAGTTTTACATATGTTGGAAATAGTCTCTTTTATCTTCTGGACTAAGTGCTATTTTTTTCTCCTGAAAAAGCTGTGGGAAGCTGATGATCTGTTAACATAAATAGTTAAATTTAATCTAGCAAGTATGTACTTCTTCATGTTAGGTGGAGCGGACTCCTGGGGCCAGGGCTATTGGCAGGAGAGTAAGGGCATGGGGACAAGCAGGTGGCGTGGCACAGTGAGCAGGAGAGCTGTGGAGAGTAGCTGCTCCTTGATCCCAGAATGACCTCAGCATGCCCATCTGCCTGGTCTGTCGTGTGGGCTGGGCACAGTGCAGAGGGCTTTGCAAATGTTCACTCGGCCCGTATGTGAACAGTACAGTGGTCCGTGCTTTATAGACAGTGAAACAGGTGCAGAGAGGGAGGTAGCTTGCTCTCACTGCACAGCTAGTACTTGCTGGAGCCTGCATTCCAATTCCAGGCTCAGCAGTCTGCGTTTAGTCTACCCCTTCTCAGCCTTGGCTCTACCTGAGTCTCTAGGGCAGGGCCATCCTGGGCACTGTCTGGTGTTGGGCAGTGTCCCTGGCCTCCACCCGTTCAATGCTAAGAGCACCCCTTTCCCCAGGTTGTGACAACTAAGAGTGTCTCCAGACAATGCCAGATGTCTTGGGCACACAGTTGCCCCTGGTGAGTACCCTGCCCTGCCCTAGCTGCCTCATCTTCAAAATGCCACCTTCCTAGGATATGGAGAAGAAGGAACCCTCCTACACTGCTGGTGGGAATGCAAGCTGGTGCAGCCACTCTGGAGAACAGTATGGAGGTTCCTCAAACAGTTAAAATAGAGCTACCCTATCACCCAGCAATTGCACTATTAGCTATTTACCCAAAAAATACACAAAAACACTAATTCAAAGGGATACATGCACCCCTTTGTTTATAGCAGCACTACCAGCAGTAGCCAAACTGTGGAAGCAGTCCAAGTGTCCATCGACTGACGATGGATGAAGAAGTGGTATATATACAATGGAATATTATTCAGCCATAAAAAGGAATGGAACCTTGGTATTTGCAACAACATGGATGGAGCTAAAGAGTAATAATGCTAAGCAAAGTAAGAGGAAGAAAAATACCATATGATGTTGCTCATATGTGGAATTTAAAAAACAAAGGAGCAAAGGAAAAAACAAAAGAGACAAAGCAAGAAACAGACTCTTTTAAGTATAGAGAATGGATGGTCCCCAGAGGGGAGGAAGATGGGGGGATGGGAAACAGGTGGTGGGGATCAAGGAGTGCCCTTGTGATGAGCACCAGGTGATGTGTGTAAGTGTTCAATCACCGTATGTTAACTATGCTGGAAGTAAAATGAAAACTTAAAGTCGGGGCGCCTGGGTGGCTCAGTTGGTTGGCCATCTGACTTGATTTTGGCTCAGGTCATAATCTCAGGGTTGTGAGATGGAGCCCCACGTCAGGCTCTGTGCTGGGCGTGGATCCAGCTTAAGATTCTTTCCCTCTCCCTCTGCCCCTTCCATGCCCTCCCTCTTTCTCCCTCTCAAAAACAAACAACAACAAGAAACCAAAAACAACTTAAAAATGCATGACAATAATATAAAAGGAAGGTTAAAAATAGAATTGACAGTGTAGTAAAGTATTTGCAACTGGGGGAGGCGGTAAAAGTAATTATTTGTATTAGGCTATATTAGGTAAGGGATTTACAGTTTAGTCATGTAACTGTATAAAGCTTTGTATGTGATTGCAATAAGTTTATAAAGGAAACAATGGGGTAATCAAACAGTGCCACCTTCCTGACTGGGGCCGGGAAGAGCGTAGCAGCCGCCTGCCACTTTGGTCATGAGAACGTTTAAATACAGGGACAAGCTGACAGCATGGTCCTACGTAGTTAACTGTCCCGATACCCACCCCTAGACCCACCCACTATGAATATCTTGCTCTAGTTGTTCCTATTTCTACTTGAAACCATATATTTTGTTGTCATTGGACCATTTGAAAGTAAGTTGCAGACATTTTGACACAATCTAAACATTTCAACATGCATCCCCTAAACATCGTTCTCACTTAACTTAATCGCGCCTGGGAGCGTGAGCAGTCATTCCCGAATGTCTGTGGTACTCTGACCAGCTTGTCCCAGGACTGGGTTTATAGGGGCTTTCCTGCAGCCTGAGGTGCGCCCAGGCGTCTTGTCCGTCTACCCTCCCAGTCTACAACGGTCTTCCCACATTTTTCCTATGATTGTTTTTTAACTTATTGTTATAAAAAATTGCAAATATTGGAGTGCCTGTGTGGCTCAGTTGGCTAAGTGTCCAATTCTTTTTTTTTGGAGAGAGAACTCACGCAAGCAGGGGGAGGGGCAGAAGGAGCTGGAGAAACAGACTCCCCGCCGAGCAGCGAGCCCGCCGTGGGACTCGTCCCAGGACTCCCGGGATCATGACCTGAGCTGAACGTAGTAGGCGTCTAGTTCTTGATTTCGGCCCAGGTCATGATCCAAGGGTCATGGGATCGAGTCCCATGTCAGGCTTCTCGCTCAGTGGGGAGTCTCGTCTCCCTCCCCCTCCGCTTGCTCTCTCTCAAATAAATAAATCTTTAAAAAATCTTGCAAATATTTATAGAAGCAAAGAATTGATTAACGACTGTGCCTAGTACCAGTGTTCCCAACTCATGAATCCTAATGACTTTCTGAAGAGGCCAGGCTGTTTAAAGGATGCCCCGCACCCTGGAGCCACTTGTTGGACTTGCTCAGGGCCACTGACAATGAGTGCTGAGCTCCAGTGGCTGGCGGCTGGTGGCTGTTGTCAGTTCTTACTCAGTGGCCTTGCAGGCTCCTTGAGGTCAGAATCACAGCACGGCCCTCACTGGCCCGAGCTCCAGGCATCGCAGCGCTCCCTGGCTCTCAGGCACCAGCCTTGGGCCATCTTGCCAGTTCCTCACACTTGCCTTGAATCCACTTGGCTCCATCACCCAGCACCCTCCTCCTGGACTGACCTCCCCAGCACAGTGCCCACTCCCTGCAGGAAAACCCCAGGGCCCCTCGGGATGCTCTGCCTGACTCTGGCTCACTTTGCTGCCTGCTCTTTTTGGGCACCCCCCACCTATGAGCATACAGTATGTTTTCCAGCCTTTCACATAGGCCTCTCCTCCCCAGAAATGCCCTGTGCTGTCCTGGCTTCAGGCCTCTACTGAGTCCACATTCTCTGTATAGAAGACCTTCTCTGGTGTTCATGTAGAGGTCCTACTCACTGCCAGGTAGCAGCGCCCTCCCTCCCTTGTGCCCCATGCTGTCCCTGTGTCTTGGCTTTGCATCTGTCCGTGGCCCCTGGTTGCATACAGGACCCAGTGTCACACAGGGCATCTCTGGTAGGGTTTGTGTGATGGGTGTATGTGGCAGAAGGTTGGAATCAGGTGAGGAGTACGGGGAGGGAGGGGCTGAAGGCCTTGACGACAACAGGCAGGGGCTGGACGGAGCCTGGACAGAGATGCGTCTGAGGGGAGCGGATGGTGCGGGCAGCGCTTTCCTTCCTGGCACACCTGCTTGTTGTCACAAACCCTTGGGATCCCATTGTGGAACCAGCCATGCTGCAGGGACTCTCTAATGTTCTGAGTGACTGTCCACCAGATATCTGTGGTCACAGATGCTCATCCTCTGGGCTTCCTCTTCTGCTGCTGAGCCTCAGCATAGCTGTGTGCATGTGGCCGAGTCAGGTTGTGCGGGCCAGAGGGCTGGGGCGGGGGGAGGGGGCTGTGCTATCCTGCTCTCTTGCACAGGAAGCCTAGGGGCTCTTCCTGCCGCTGGTCCTCACCTCCTGTCTGCCTGCGCTGCCGTTCTCGCCTCTGTGGGGTTTCCTTGAGGATCTGCACTCGCTGTGTGTGGCCTTGCTGAGCAGAGGTTTTCTGTCAGCCTGTGTTCTCTTGGGACAATAGGTCATGGACCTTTTCCTTTGACTTTTGTCTTGTTTTGCAGTCCTTGAAATGGTCTCCAGGGCTGTGTGTTTTGGCCAGAAAATGATTGGAAAGTCAGTCCTTTATTTGGTCCAGGGTTCATGATAAAAATGTTAACATCTGTGCCATGGGTCATGACTTACTATGCGTAACCTTTTTTTTCCCTAAAAAGAATTTGCAGTTGGCAGTTTGTGGCTGAGGAACTCTTAAGACCCCATAATTCAAGTAAGATTGGGAGACCAGGGTTGTCAGTGAGCGTAGGAGAGCCATGTTTCTGTGGTCACTGGAATAAGCCAGCGCTGTGCCGTCCCCGTGGTACCTGTGGCGCGTCTTCCGCTTGGCCTTCCCTGCCGTCCTCCAGGTCTCCGCCGCTGGGGTCCTAGCAGGTGTCCTCAGACGACCACCTACACAGGGTCCCTTTTACTGCCTCTGGTCTTCTTGAGTCTGACGTCTTTCTGATTGTGTGATGAAGCATTATTGATCATTCCTTTGGGAATTCAGCATGACCTCCTGAGGCTGGTGGTCAGTGGGCTGAGCAGCAGACAAATCGGGAGAGGTCCCAGGGCCCCGAGGAGAGGTCCAAGGCGGTGACGGAAGGGATGCCCAGAGGTGGGCGTTTCTAATGACCTGTCGTGGTGCCCCGAGGCAGAAGCTCCTGGTGCGAACAGTGTGGCCTTGCCTTCTCTCATGTCATTCTTGGATCTCGGCCTTGCTCTCCAGAGCAGGGATTGTCCCGCATTCCTGAACCAAACATGTAGGCCTGGCCCCGAGCACATCCCTGCAAGTGCTGACAGGCGCTGATGGCATATTTGGGTACAGGGAGGTACGGCTTGCCCCTCGGCTCCAGGCCTGTGTGACCCTGTGCTGTTTGCTCCCTTTGCAGTCACAGCTCTGCGGCTTCCACTCTGCCCTGCTGCACAGCAGGCGGAACCCCTGGCGGTCCCCCCCTGCCTTCCCCAGGAGAAACATCAGGGTCCTGCCCGCAAGTTGGTGAGTTCTCCACAGCCCCAGGTGCCCTCTAGGGCCCGTGCCTCTTGCCAGGCAGGGATGGAAGACCTCTCTTGTGGGGCCCAAGGCTGGACTTCTCTGTGCTTCCACCCCCAAGACAGATGCGTCTGCTCCTCTGTGTGGTGGCTTGGGGTTGGTAGCCCCCTGCCCCTGCCAGGGACTGGCGCCCCCGGGGCGGGACTCCCCGACAGCAGTGGCATGAGCACACCGAGGCTAGAGCCGTGAAGAAGGGTGGGACCACTGTGGATGGGGCCAAAACAACAGGGAGAGGAAGCGAGAACTGGACGTAGGAGGGTTCCAGGCCTGAAGCCAGTGGGCAGGACAGCGGGGGAGTGAGGTGGGGAGCGTCAGGAGGCTAGACTCAGGCCTGGCGGGCCACAGTGAGTTACCCAAGCATGCACTCGCTGCCTGGTGACCTTGGGGCAGGGGGCTCCTGTTGGGCTCCTGTTGGGCTCGCCCTTAGTCCCCATCACCTGGCACTTGGCAGTTCAGTTGGGCGACAGTGGTTGTAACTCCGTGCAGCATAGGAGGCCCTCGTCCGGTGAGGATCTCAGCTCTGCCTGTGAGCTGCTTCCCGTGAGGCCAAAGAGCTGCTTTCTTTGCTCACTGGCCCCTTGGAGCCTGGCATCCAAGGTATCCATGGGGCTCGGGCAAGGTGACTTGGAACACACTAGTGACCACTCGGGCCTCTGGAACCGGGGCTGCCTGCAGAGGCTTCTCGTAGAGCTGCAGCTCCCTGGGGTGGGCCAGGTTCTGTCTGAGAGTGCCCCTCAGCCTGTGGGCAGCAGAGGCCCCAGAGCCCAGGCCCGGTGGGCAGACAGGAAGTGACCTGCACCATGCCCCTCTGTCTCCCTCCAGGTCCTTCAGACCCCAGCCCCTATGGAGGAAGGCGCTCTCTGCCACGATGCTGGGGGTACCCCTGCTACTTGGGGCCCGCTATTTCACAGCAGAGCCTCAGGAGAAGAGAAGGATGAGGCTTGTAGTGGACGGCGTGGGGCGCTTCAGCAGGTAGAAGGAGCGGGGGCACGGCACGGCTTTCTCCCCTGCCCCCCCACCTGTCCTGAGATGTGCGGAGCCGGAGCTGGGGCTGGGAGGGGCTGCAGGGTTTTGCTGGAACCTTCCAAGCTGCCTTCCAGACGTTCCAGTACTGCCAGGTCCACGTGGTCGTAGTGCCAACGAGCCATGCCCACCAGACGTGGCCTCTTACAGACCCTTCGGATCACCCTCGGCCAGCTGGAGGGAGAGCTGGTCAGGTTTTTGCCGGCTGGTGGGCAGACGGGAAGCTGCTTCCTCCTCTTCCTCTTTCTTCTCACCTCCACTCCCCCAAGGAGAGTTGGCACCCAGAGGGCTTTGGGGCTCAGAGGGGAGGGCTGCCATCCCTCCTCCAGTCCCAGTGGACTGGTCTAGAGATGGATAATGTCTGGTCATTAGTATTAAGGGTGCCTTAAACTGAAGGCCCTTTTCATACTCCCTTATCTACCCGTGCAAGATTCTTGGGGGGTAGGGGTGATATTCCTGTTGGAGGAATTCCTACAGCCAAGAAATCCTGAGAACCAGCTCTTGGCCTTGAGTGAAACCTCAGTCTACCCAAACGCACTGTTGGGCTGGACTGGGGGGTGCACATGGTTGCCCAGGGAAGTGGTTCATCCTCCTTGCTTGAGGAGGCTGTGGGGTTGGGGGCTGCAGCTCTGAGCACCTGCAGCCTCTCCAACCTGGGTCCATCTCTCAGGGGAAGGCTTAGGACTACTAAGGCCTTCGGGCACTTAGCCAGAAACTTCCCTGAAATTTATGCTGATGGAGGCCATGGTCGGGTGGATGGCTGAATGCTTGACCACTTCCTGCCACGAGGGCACGACAGACTGGTCACTTCCTAACTCCTTGATGGTGGCCCCGCCCCTGCACACCTGTCTCCCTCGGTGGTCAGGTTTGCCTAAAGCACCTCGTTGCCCTCCTGGGCAGGTTCTGGGTAGTGAGTTCTCTGTCCTGTAGGGTTGTCCAGTCTCCCAGTCCTGAGGTGGATGAGGGCAGAGCCTGGAGTTGGCTCTGTCTTTTCTTCTGTGGCTCTCCACTGTGTGGGACTGGTGGGGACGGTCCCCAAGCAGCCTGCTTCCGAAACGCACACTTGGCATGTCTGAGCTCGTCTCGCGTCCGCCTCCTACGTACCGCTCTCGCCCAGGGTCAGATGCCCCATCGCAGGCGCGCCTGCCCTCTCGGCTTCCTTCCTGAGGAAACGTATTTTCACAGCTTGCTTTCAGGGGCTGAGCTGGGGTTGGAGGGAGGCAGCCACAACTATTCTTTTCCCAACGTGTTCTTGTCAGCTGTAAGCCCCAGCCATTGCAGGACAGGCAGGCTGGGCCCAGGGTGACCACAGGGCCTCCGGAGTCAGGGTCAGTGTGTGTGCCGGAGCCCAGGGATGGAGCACAGGTGGGGAGCACGTCGGGGCTGGCTTCACCAGGGGGGTCGGGAGCTTGTTCTGTCGTAGGAGAGCGATCAGAACACGTCACGAGTGTGTGAAGGCTCGGAGATGGGCGGCAGGAAGTCTGCATCAAAGTCCACGCTTTCTTACCCCACCCCTTGTTCAATTTTAACTTCTCAGAAACCTGTGGGCTTTTTTTTTGTTTTTGAATACAGTTTCACATGTCCAGAAAAGCTGTAGGAATTAGACAAATGAGTTGTCAATGTGTTCCATTGTCCCTGCAAGCTGGGGTGTATCTCCTAAACAAGGACATTGTCCATAAGCACCATCAGGACACTGGTGCGTTATGAGCCTCTGACTACCTGTCGCCAAGCATCCCAGCAATAACCTTTTTAGCACAAGGATCCCGTACCAGGCCCATCTCTAATTTCCTGCCACCTAGAACAGTCCCCCCCGTGTCTCCTTGGCTCTTATGGCTAAATTTGAGGTCAAGCATGGTCCCCAGACTCCCATGTGCGCCCAGGCTTATCAGTTTCCATGGTTCCCTAGGACAAATCACAGAACTCAGGAAAGTGCTGTACTTTTGATTAAGGTGTTGTCATAGCAAAAAACGATACAAATCAGGGGCGCCTGGGTGGCTCAGTCATTAAGCGTTAAGCGTCTGCCTTCGGCTCAGGTCATGATCCCAGGGTCCTGGGATCGAGTCCCGCATCGGGCTCCCTGCTCGGCGGGAAGCCTGCGTCTCCCTCTCCCACTCCCCCTGCTTGTGTTCCCTCTCTCGCTGTGTCTCTCTCTGTGAAACAAATAAATAAAATCTTTAAATAAAAAAAAAAGATACAAATCAGAATGAGCCCAAGGAAGAGATGCACAGGGTGAGGCCTGGGAGAGCCCAAATTCAGAGTTTCCATGTCCTCAAAGACCTGTGACACCCCTACTCCCGCCCCGTCGCTGACATGCCACAGTGCATGCCGGTCATTCTGTGAGCGTCGGTGTGCACGGTTTCCACGGGAGTCTCCTTCTAGGCGTGATTGAATCATTGGCCTCCGACTGAGCTGCCTCCAGTCTCCCTCCCTCCCCCAGCTGGGCTGACCTCTGGCAATCTGAGCACATCATCAGCATGCACTGCCCGGGCCCATCACCAATCCCAGACACTCCTGTCACTCGGGAGATTGCAGGCCTTCAGAGGCCACCTGCCAGGAGCTGGGACAGAGGCTGGGCCTTTCTGGCTGAAGTTAATTCTTCACTACACGTGACCTTGACACATCGGGAGGCTTATAGACCAGTGATGTTGTCCAGCGGGGGTCAGCAGACTGTGGCCAAACATGGCTGCTGCCCGTTTGATAAATAAGCTTCCTTGGACCTGTGGTCTTGTCTGCTGTGCACGTTACCTGGGCTGCTCTCACTGCGACAGCAGAGGGGAGGCCGTATGGCTCAGAAAGCCCAAAATCTTTACCCTCTAACTTCATAAAGAAAAATGTTGCCGCCCCCTTTTGTAGAAGGCCCCCCCCCATTTGGGTTTGTCTGAGGTTTGCTCGTGGTTGGATTCAGTTGGTGCATTTTGGCACGTTCTGCACCCCCAGGGCGGTGCGTGGTTTGTCCGGCCCCTTGTCTTGGAGTGGCGTTGGGGTCGGTTCCCGTTGCCCTTCTGCCCACTGGCTCAGCAGCTCCCAGGACTCCTTAGGTGAATTCATTCTTACTGGGGCCCCACGTGGTGGTTTTTGTAGTTCAGCTGTACCACGTCTGTTAGTTGCCATTCTACTATAAGAAAACTTTCTCTTCTCCCCATTTGTTTGTATCAGTCTGGACTTACGGATTTTTTATTTGTGTGGATTGATCTCTGTTGATGTCGGTTGTTTTTTTGTTGTTCCAGGTTTAGCCTTTGTGATGATTTTTTATTTCCTAGTTTTTATTTAAATTTCAGTTAACATACAGTGTAATATTACTTTCAGGTGTAGATCCTTTTATCTCTGACATTTTATTGTAAACAATTTCAAACAGCGGAGTTGGAAACACTGTACAGTGAACCTCGATTTCGCCATTACCTCTTCAAATAGTTGTTGTTAACTCCCACCTTGAGTCCTCTTGCAGTGTCTCCATTTCTGGAGCATTTTATTCCTTCTTGCACTGAGATGCTCCAGGCTCGTCTTGTTCTCTCCCAGACCTGGATTCAGCCATTCTCCCGGAAGCCTGGTTCCTTGGAACGGAGAAGGGTCTTTTTTTTAAAAGATTTTATTTATTTATTTGACAGAGAGACACAGCGAGAGAGGGAACACCAGCAGGGGGAGCGGGAGAGGGAGAAGCAGGCTTCCCGCAGAGCAGGGAGCCCGATGCGGAGCTCGATACCAGGACCCCGGGATCATGCCCCGAGCCTAAAGCAGACGCTCAACGACTGAGCCACCCAGGCGCCCCTGGAGAAGGGTCTTAAGGACCAGGGCTGTGCTTGCTGCTCTGGGCAGTCTGCGCCCAGGCTGTTTGGCTGTGTGGCTGTGTGCATGTGCACACTTACATGTGTCCATCTCTGTATCTAGCCATACACACCACACCTCCATTCACGCAGGTATTTCCCAGTACAGAGATCATTCTCATCTACTCCTTTCTCCAACTGGCAGAATCTTGGCTTTCCTTGTCCATAATTTAGTGACTTATTTGATCGGTGACTGAGTGTAGCAGCTACCCCTGCCCCTTTGCAGACCTTGCATTCCCTTTTGGACTGAATTATTCAGGAAGGAGGGAAGCCCCCCTCCCCCGCTTTGTATCTCTAGGGAGCTCAGAGAATTCCTGTGTCCTCGCTCCCCCTGCCAACCGTGCTCTGTTCACAGATAGTCCCGTTTGTTCCCTGGCTCCGGCTGGGGGTGAGTGGGACAGAGCCCATTCATTTGTGGAGTGCAGTGCGGCACGCATAAGGCACGCGCTGACCTGACACTGCTCGAGCATGCTCCGTCACCACAACTGCTGGGAGTAGCATATACCCTAGCAGGGAGGCAGACCGGTCCGGAACCCGGCAGCCTTTTCCTTCCTCCCTTTCAGCTCTCACCCTCCTGTGGCGGGGCTGGCTGGGAGGCAGAAGATAGAGGTTTGGCTTGACCAGTGGCCCCAGGTCCCCTCAGGGCTTCTTCCTTGAGGAAGAGGAGCCCTACAGCCCTCTCATGAAGGTTTGAGGGTCTGCGGTCTGTGATGCTGGAGGCGGGACTCAGCCCTGGTTCCTTCCCTCCCCAAACCCAGGGCTGCCTGTCCATAGCCTGGGCCCCGGGGAGTGAGTACCCTTGCCAACATAAGGAGGGGCCCGGGTCCCCAGGACAGTGGAGAGCACTAGGAGCCCTGCTCTGGGATCCAGCTCCCTGGAGGCTGCTGTCCAGGGACACGTGGAGAGCGCCTGGGGGCTCGGCAGGGCGCGCAGTGCAGAGGGGCCTGGGGCAGGGCATGCCTGAGCACGGGAGCTGGGGACAGCCGCTCACTAGCCATCGCCGCTGCACAGGTCTTAGGTGCTGTAAGAGAGCAGTAAGAAGCCTGGTCCTTCGGGCCTGACCTGAGCGCCCCCCACCAGCTCTTGCCCCTCCCGTCTGTGCTGGGTGCTCGGTGGTGCGTGTCCGGGCACAGGGGTGGTGTGGACCAGGAGCTGAGACCGCCCTGCTGGCAGTGCTAAGAGCAAGGCCAGACCAGAGCCTGTCCTCTCCCTCCTGGTCCAGCCTGGAAGCCCAGCAGCCCCTGCCACATGCTCAGTCTGGGCCGGGGGTTCGGGGCGGGGGTGGGATGGCTCTGAGGCGCTGTGCCTGCCGAGAGCTGAGGGCAGCCTCCGTCAACAGGTCTCTGAGGATAGGCCTACAGATCTCCCTGGACTACTGGTGGTGTGCAAACGTCGTCCTGCGTGGGGTGGAAGAGGTTTGTCCCTGCATCCTAGCCACAGTGGGCTCGGCCTCACAGTGGGAGAAGGGGGGGGGGGACGGTGACACGCTAGATGAAGGTGGGTGCCGGGGGAACTGAGGAGGCGCCTGCCCGCCCGCCCCCATCCCTTCCCTCCATGCCTGTGGTCAGAACAGCCCGGGGTACTTGGAGGTGATGTCTGCATGTCACCAGCGGGCGGCTGATGCCCTGGTCGCCGGGGCCATCAGCAACGGGGGCCTGTACGTGAAGCTGGGCCAGGGGCTGTGCTCCTTCAACCACCTGCTGCCCCCGGAGTATATCAGGACTCTACGTGTGCTGGAGGACAGGGCCCTCACGCGCGGGTTCCAGGAGGTGAGCCCTGCACTTGGGCTGGGGGCTCTGGCAGTGCCCCACGCCCTCCCCGCCCCACGCTGCTCCAAGAACCCTCTCCTGCCAGGTGGACGAGCTGTTCCTCGAGGACTTCCAGGCCTTGCCCCACAAACTCTTTCGGGAGTTCGACTATCAGCCCATCGCCGCCGCAAGCCTGGCCCAGGTGCACCGAGCCAAGCTGCACGATGGCACGGAGGTGGCCGTGAAGGTACATGGGGGCCCGCTCTGCGCTGCAGCGGGGTCTGGGCCGGTGCTGGCAGCCCTGGGTCTTCCCTGCACCCTCGCCCAATGCAGGTGCAGTACATCGATCTGCGGGACCGCTTTGACGGCGACATCCACACCCTGGAGCTCCTGCTCCAGCTCGTCGAGTTCATGCACCCCAGCTTTGGCTTCAGCTGGGTCCTCCAGGTAACTGCTGCCCAGAGACGGGCCGGAGCAAGCAGGGTCTGCATGTTATGTGCCGGGGTGGGCTGGTCCCCAGCCTTGACCCCCAGCTGCCCGTGTGGCCCCCAGGACCTGAAGGGCACCTTGGCGCAGGAGCTGGACTTCGAGAACGAGGGCCGAAATGCCGAGCGCTGTGCCCGGGAGCTGCAGCACTTCCGCTATATCGTGGTCCCCCGCGTGCACTGGGACACGTCCAGCAAGGTGGGCTGGGCCCCCTCCTGGGTGGGGACGTGCAGCCCTGCTGAGCTCAGCCACTTGCTCTCTCCCAGCGTGTGCTGACGGCTGAATTCTGCGAAGGCTGCAAGGTCAGCGATGTGGAGGCCATCAAGTGCATGGGGCTGGCGGTGAAGGATGTGAGTGCGCGTGCATCAGCGTGTGGACGTGGCCGGGCACGTGTGCGCCCCAAGCGCAGGGTGATGGTGGCCCGGTCCTGTTCTCTCCCCAGATCGCAGAGAAGCTCATCCAGGCTTTTGCGGAGCAGATATTTTACACAGGCTTCATCCACTCGGACCCCCACCCTGGCAATGGTAGGAAAAGTCCCCGGGGGTGGGGGTGGGAGTCAGGGTTCAGGGGACATGAGCTGACACGCCGTGTCCCTAGTTCTGGTGCGGAAAGGCCCCGACGGGAAGGCCCAGCTGGTGCTGCTGGACCACGGGCTCTACCAGTTTCTGGACAAGAAGTAAGGCGGGGAGCCGGGGGGGGGGGGGGGGGGGGGGGGGGTGCTGAGGGGGCAGGGCCCTGGTGCCCGGGCCTTACTGCTGGCTTCCCGCAGGGACCGGTCGGCCCTGTGCCAGCTATGGCGGGCCATCATTCTCAGGGACGATGCCGCCATGAAGACACATGCAGAGGCACTCGGAGTGCGAGGTGAGGCCGGGGTGTGCGGGCCTGGGGGCTTGTGGGGCACGCGGTCCTGGCTCACCGCCCCCCAGACTACTTCCTCTTCTCCGAGATGCTCATGCAGCGGCCCGTACGCCTGGGGCAGCTGTGGGGCTCACACCTGCTCAGCCGGGAGGAGGCAGCCTACATGCAGACCATGGCGCAAGAGCACTTTGAGGACATCATGGGGGTGCTCAAAGCCCTGCCACGGCCCATGCTGCTCGTGCTGCGCAATATCAACACCGTGCGTGCCATCAACACCGCCCTGGGCACCCCTGTGGACCGCTACTTCCTCATGGCCAAGAGGTGGGTGCTGGCTGGCGGGATGCCCGGGGGTGGGAAGTGGCGGATGGAGTGGGATTGGGCCAGGCTGACTGTGTCTCTGGGCAGTGCGGTCAGGGGCTGGACCCGCCTGGCAGATGCAGCGTACCAGAGCCTCTACGGTGCCAGCCTCCTGCGCCACAGCAGGGTCATCTGGGAAATGTTCAAGTTTGAAGTGGCCCTGAGGTGAGGAGATGGGAGGGGGCGGGCATCCAGGGCAGGTGGTCGAGACCTGCTCCCCACCAACCTGTGACCCCTCTGGCCTCCCACCCAGGCTGGAGACCCTATCGATGCGGCTCACCGCCCTCCTGGTTCGGCTCTTGGTCCACCTGGGCCTCCTGCCTGAGACCCAGGGGCTCTCTGAGTACTTGGAGACCTAGGGAGTCCCGGAGGCAAGAGCTCATCCAGCGCCGGACCGACAGAGCTGGCCAGGGCTGGAAGTGCACACACCCCGAGACCTGGGGCGCTGAAGCAGCTGTGGCCTAGAGTGTGTGTGTGTGTGGGGGGGGGAACACCATGGGGCTCTGACCACAGCCCAGCCAGGAGGCCTGACAATGACCACAAGCTCTTCTCAAATCAAACATCTTTTCCTTGTGTTTTGTACAAAAAGGGGTGGGGACAGTGCACAGGGGTGGTGGTGGCATCCGGGACCCTAGAAGTGGGCGGTGACACGGTCAGTCTCCAACAGGTCGTCCAGGATCTGCAGGGAGATGGGGCTGGTGAGTGGGGGGAGGGCCAGGTGGGGAGGGGTGGGCCACGCGGGGCAGGCCGGGGGCTCACAATGTCAGGCGTGGTGCCGATCTTCTTGGCCAGTTCGCCACGCTCCATAGTGCTCAGGTACAGGTAACGGTTGAGCAGCTCCCCATCCAGAACGTTCCGCACGGCGTTCTGCAGGATGCGCCGGTCCACATGCAGCATTCTGGGGAGACATGCAGGCTGTATAGGGTGACGGGACACGGGTGGGGGGCGGGGGACGCACACTCACCGGAAGGCCCTGGGGTTGAGGCCGGCGTGGTGGGGCAGCATGGTGGTCAGCGCATTCTGCAGCATCAGCAGCCGCCGGTACGTCTTCTCCTGCATGGGCAGCAGGAGCCCGATGCCACCATCCAGTGTGGCTGCAGGAGGCACCGGGTGAGTGAGGCTGACCGCCCCGCCCCACACGCCTGCCCGTCCGGCCCGGGACTCACCAAACCAGGTGATGTGCTTGTTTTCCCACACCACCGACTTTTTGCTCGGTCCCTCCGCAGCGCCGCGGCACGGCGTCCTCCAGAACGTGTTCACGTGGGCACCCACGTGGAAGTCTGCCCGCCGGAGCAGGCGCATGCCCCCGAAGCTCTCTTTGGCTAGGCCAGAGGGAGCTCAGGTCATTGCCTGCCCAGCGCCAGCCCCCGCAGAGGGGAAGAGGGAATACTCACCTTCTGGCAGGTACATGTACACCATGAGGTTGCGGTCACGGTCAGACACTGGGGAGCAGAGCCCAGGGTTAGCCCAGCCACCCCCGAAGTCTCTGAGCCCCGAGACCCCCCCCCCCCAGGCCCTGCGCTCACCCAGGAAGCCCAGCTGGGCGTTGTCCACCATGAAGTCCACGCTGTACACTTCCAGGGGCTTGGCATCCTGGGGACGGGGGACGGACGTCAAGGTCAGCCCGTGGCCAGCACCCACCCAGCACAGGGCCTAGGCCGCACAGGTACCCGGGACACGAGGCTCAGTGTCTTGCTCTCCTCCTGGTAGCGCAGCAGCGAGATGCTCTTCATGACGTCGGCCGCCAGAATGAAGTTCTTGACGCTAATCATCTGGTGGATGTAGAGCTGGGTGTCGATGAAGGCCATGCCCGTCAGCTCGCTCGCCCGCAGGCTCCACAGGAAGATCTAGGGGGACAGCAGCAGTGGGTGACAACGGGCAGGCAGCGGCAGGCCCCGGGGTGAGCGGGAGGGCTCACCTTCTGACCAATGGCGGACACCAGGTGCCCATTGCAGTGGCACAGAGCGGTCACAGGCCCCTTCTGCTCCTTCTCATACAGGACTTTGAACTTGTTCTTGGTCAGGGGCTGGCCAGGCTCAGGCACCACCTCGATCACATCCATGATGAGGATCTGCCGGGGAAGGAGGGTGGGTGATGTGCAGGGAAGGGGCCGGGGCTGCCAGGCACTGCCCACCCCCACCAGCCGTCCCCTTACCCGCCCTCGGCACGTGACCTCCTCCCCCTGCATGAGGCAGGTCCCAGCAGCCACGTAGCCCTTGAGGCCTGACACTGTCTCCTCGCTGCGCAGCGACACGGTCTTCATGCAGGTCACGTGCTCCCACTCCTCCAGCTCGATCCTGCACGAGGCAGAGTGAGGACGCCGCCTCCCGGGGGGGCCGCCGGTCCCCAGCCAGACCCCAGCCTCACCTGGCGTTGGGGATGGCCTCCCAGCTGACCGGGGAGATGAGCTGGATGGAGAAGGCCTCCTGCTGGGGGTGGATGTATCGCTCGTCTGCAAGGACACGGGCTGACGGTCAGGGCGGGCGGCCTCGCCAGCAAGGCCCACTCTGGGCATCACATACCCCTCTCGATGGTCTCGAACTCCTTCTCCTCGCCGGTCATGCGCGGGATGCGGGTGCACGGCATGTTGGTGCTGGTGGCGACTGCGTACACCTGCGAGAGCGGAGCGCGTCACGGGCGTGCGAGAGGCCACGCCCAGAGGGTCCCTGGCCCTAAGAGGACGGGGTCAGACCTTGGACTCCACGTGGTAAGCCACGTAGTGGGCAGTGCAGCGCAGGGGGATCTTCCTGACAGGCCACGGGGCATCGTAGGACAAGTAGGCAGGCAGGACACTGATCCTCAGCTCACCCTGGTGCGTGGGGGACAGGGGCCGGTGAGCCCTGGTATCCGCCGAGGGCAGGGCAGGCAAATCCGGGCTTCCGAGGGCTCCACGAGGCCAGCCCTCAGCTCTACCGGAACCGAGGTGTGCAAGGGACTGAGGCGTGCTGTGCCGTGCTTCACGGCCTTCCCGTCCCTTCTCTCAGGTTTCCCCAGGGCTGGCATGCTGGCCACAGACATGGTCTGGGCCCAGAGGAAGCTGGAGGCTGCCGGCCAAAGGTTACCCACACACCGGCCAGGCCAGAGTCTGCAGACAGATGAGGGGACCCCTACTGGGCCCTGGCTGTTGCCCCTCACCCGTAGCCCTAAGAGCATCAGCACCTCCAGAGCACCTGCCACATTCTGCTCACGGGTCCTCACACTGACGTCACAGATGAGGAAACGGGGCTCAGAGAGAATGAGCACCTGGCCCAGCGTCACACAGCTCCTCAAGGGCAGAGCAGTGACTGGAACTGGAACTGGCCCCCGCAAACAGGCGCCCTCAGGGGCTGCAGCCGCCACGCCCGCCTGCCCTGCCCTCCAAGCCTTCCCAGTCTCTCACCTCTTTGACCTCGGCCTTGTCCACTTGCTGGACACCCCGCAGGGTCCCCAGCACCTCCTCCTGACCCAGGCAGGGCAACACGGGGCCCATAAGCCTTGGAGTCTCCCTACCTGTCTGTTGAAATACAGGAAGCCACGGGGACAGTTGACGTTGTGGAACGGGGCAAAGGAGTCAATGGGACCGTCGATGCCCATGGGGTGCAGCCGCAGGGCCCCCCGGCCAGTCACCAAGAGCCAGTGAGGCGAGGGGCCACAGATGAACACCTGAGGGCAGGCACTGTGAGGTGAGGCCCCACCTGCCCCACCCCGGGCCCCCCGAGAGCCGCCTGCCTACCCCTGAGTAGCCATAGATGTCCTCGAAGTACCGGAACCGGGCCACGCGGCCCCGGGCCCCAGCCCCCTCCTCAGCACCTCCGCCTTCCACTTTCTTCTTGGACGGCTTCGGCTTCTTCTCACGGAAGTTGATGTTGTGAGGGACCTGGAGGGGGTGGTGCGCCATGAGGGCCGGGTCGTGCCCCCAACCCCGTTCCACATCCACCCCATGCCCAGCTCAGCCCCGTCACTGCACCTTCTTGAAACGGACTTTGAGGTTTCCCTGGCCGAGCTGGGAGTCGTGCGGGAAGGCCTCGTAGATGAGCAGCTCCTGGTCCACGTGCACCTGGGGGGCAGTGCAGGGTCACCAGGGAAGTGGGGGCACCCGGCCTGGCTGCCGCGGGGAACAAAGGGCCCACACTCACCAGCAGGTAGGGCCTGCTCTGGCGGCTCCCCAGGGCCACCAGCAGCACCTCCTTGACGAGGGGCAGCTCCCCCTGGCGCGTGGCCTCCTCCTTTCGGGCCTCGCCCTGCGTGGTGGGCTGACCGAAGGAGCTGTCCACCAGGACCCTCTGCCCGACGGGAAAGTTCTTCACCAGGAACACCAGCCGCCAGTCGGGGAGCTGGTATATCTGTGTGGGGAGTGGGGTTAGCGGCCACAGGAAGCCGGGGACAGGGAGCCGCACCGGGCACAGGGTCCCACGCACCTCCATGGTTCCGTTTTCCCGCACCAGCAGGCACCAGTGGGTGGGCTCCGCCCGGAACGGGGTGGGGTCCCGGTCCGCAGGGGGCTGGCTATTCCTGCGGGCCTCCTCCTTGCTGGGGCTGAAGAGGGAGCCCGAGTCCCCGTACAGCATCTCCTCTTCATCATCCACGGTGGGGCTAGAGGCCGGGGCCGGCACACAAGTCACACGGGGCCTGCCACAGGCCCCCCTGGCCCCAGCCTGTGCCGTGACTGCCCCCACGTACCTGGTTTCCGAGCCCTGGCCCTCTGCCTCGGAGCCACTGCGGCCCCCCAGCTCATCGCGGGCCCCGCCCAGGCGGCTCTCAGTAGTGAACATGCCGCTGACGTCTCGGTACACGCACAGTGTGATCACCTTGGACTGCTACAGGGACAGGGACGGGCTCAGCACGGGGTGGGGGGGGGAGGGTCAGCAGGCTGCGCGCATGGCCGGGTGCTTACATGGTGCAGCGGGGGCTTGTGCAGCGCCAGGCGGTGGTGACGGCCCCCATACGAGTCGCTCTTGAGCAGGAACATGGTGACATGGCCCTCAGCGCTCATAATAACCACGTAGGGGTCAGCCACGGCACACTGCACGATGGGGGAGCCCAGGTCCACGGGGATGAAGTGTAGCTGGTTCACTGTGGGCACAGGATGGTCAGTACCGGGTGGTCAGCACCCACCACCCTTGCCTGGCCGCCTGCCCGCCCACCCAAGCCCACCTCCTTCCAACAAGCGGATGCCGAGCGGCGACACCTGCACGATGTAGCGATTGTCCCCAATGTTGCCAGCAAAGACCGTGGGGCCCTGTGTGGCAAAGCCACTGGTGTCCAGCTCCATGATCTCCTGCCCTGTCTGCAGGATCTGTAGGTGATGGGAGAGTGAGGCACACCCTCCACGGCGGGGACCCCCACGCCGCCAGGCTGCCAGACCCCTACCCCTTACCATGGTGGAGTCTTCCCGGCTCAGGATAAGGAAGCCGTGTCTTCGTCCATCATCGTCTGCCTCGAGGGCGCTGGGCTCCTGCTCTGCCCCCTCCCCCTTGGCAGTCTCCTCCTGTGACAGCAGGAAGAGCA